TAAACATCCCTAGAAGCCAGAACTTTAAAACAAGAAGTAGCAAAATGTACAACCAACCGTCCTGACTGACTATCCTTTTTCATCGAGTCAATCAATACCTCGAAAACACCGAATTCATGTCTAATAATTTGAGTAAGTTTATCACGACAGCGGGAAATTTACCTTCAATTTCATTGCTTTCTCTGAAGTAGTGTATGATTTTGCTGGATGGAAACCCACTTAGACTGTACAAACCACAACTAAAGTGAGGAGATATAACCGTTTTTTCCAACGCGGTAAACGAAATGATTGCTAGTCGTATATTATGCGAAGATAGAATCTTTACATCAATCAGCAGCTTGCTTCTCTTACGTTGGCATTTAGGGATGACCCTGACGCTAATGCCAGATATGAGAGTAGGTTTTTGCTGTTATAAGGTCCCCTATTTTCCTACTTTTCCCTGACTTTCCCCGTAGTATTTCGACAATTTCACCAAAAGGACTTGGTGAACAAGCGTGAAATAACAGGATATATGTATACATGAAAGAATTTGGAAAAGGAATATAATATTCGAAGACTTTTTAACTTCTCTGTACACTTCACTGTTGCAGCGGTCTCATATATTTGTTGGGAAAGATTCGCAAATAGCAAGTGTCCGTGGTTAGCTAAGCAGAAAAAAAACTGAGAATTGGCATTTCAGTGAGGAGTACACGCAGAAGCATTCCTATCCCCTCCCTACCTGCTTAGGAACCCAGCGCACATCCTCAACAACTTGCGAGACCTCCATCCAGCCTAGCACCGGACAATCGCTGAGCCTCAGCGCAACCAACATCATGCCGAATGCATCGACCGCTATAGGGCTACAATGAAAATGCCGTTTCCATCATCTCCTTCGTCAAGGAGGTGGTTAGCAGTTTGGCAAATGAGAGGGTAAGGCCACAAGACCCGAGATTGTGGTGTCATGTGATTCATTTTCCTAGGCCTGCCCTGAAAATAAGTTAGTGAAGTTTTCGTGCTTTCTACAGGCAGTTATCCCAAAAGGCACTCGGCAAGTGACATTTCATTAGTAATCTAAGAACTGTTAAATCTTAGAGTTATAAGTGATAAAGTGATTATCAGTATGTATCTATTCGACGTATACCCTTCACTTATATTCCTCACTCATGCCTTGCCCATTGTTTTGAGAATTGAAGAGCGAGCATTCCATGCCTACCGGGAAGTCCATCAGAATGTCTTGCAAAATGACAAAAGTTTCGTCGTTCCGGTCAGAAAGCAGTCGACACCATTAGCAGTAACTGAAATAATAATTATATCCTCCCGTTTTCATCATTTTCATCACTTCTTCTCACGACCAATTCTTTTCATCTTTCTGTGACAAGCTGTATGATATGAAACTGTATGTTTGGCGTTACACATCCCGTAACGCTGATTTTTTCTAAATTTACTAGTATATACGAAAAGCCACATTGTTGATAATGCTATTCATGGTAGTGTATCAATAAATCTTGTCCTCGATACTTATCACGCAGTACTTATCTTGCTGTGATTATCCGACTTGTAAATTTTAGCTCCAATCATCTAATCCTAACTGATTATAGTCCTCAACTTATGGAAGACACTTCAAGGAAAACTGTAGTTTCTAAGCAGGACTGTTGTACTATTGGTTGTTTAAACTAGAATCATGCCTTATGCTTATTAACTAAGGTAATGAAAGGCTGAATTCACTGAATGATTGGTGAGAACCGTGAATTGCGAAATAGCGTCAGTTGGTTAGGCAGAGTTGTGTGCTATTATGATAGCATGTCCATTGTGATCAATATTTGCTTTGGATGGGTCTGAAAGCATGACTAGATGAGTGTGCAAGTTTTTGACCGGATGGTACTCTTCCTGCGCCACGGGTGAGTTAAATAGCCGAGACCAAACCTTCTCATCATTTTAATGTTCGTAGTTTCTTCCACTTCTCCTTTTTCGAAGCGAGTCCTGGCTCAAAACCTTATCGCATCATTCAGCACCAGAAATTGGGTAAAAAAAGTTGCTGCGATGGTTTGTTAGATTTAGTTAAGAATTTTTTTTTCTGGTAATTTTCTTGCTTTGCAATAGATTGTGGCGCATTTCTTCATAATCCCTTTCTGCAATCATATCTTAATGGAAATACATTACGCTAGCGTTTGGAGAGAAGTCCTAAAATGCGATGACAGGGGTCATCATCCAACTTAAGAATTATTAGCTAATTTGGAAAGACGGACGGAAGGGTAGGTCGAAGAGAGAGAGAGAGAGAGAGACACACACACACACACACACATTGGGCAGTTTTGCCACTTTTTGCTTTTTCACAACTTTTCAGTTATTGAAAACTTTGTCTTCTCGGGATGCATTTGCCGTTAGTTTAATGGACATCGAGATATATGGGGATAGACTTTCTCTCTATACTACTTATTCATTATTTTACTCAGTTTTCAAACCGAATTCTCTTTGTCATCTGCTTTCGTGGGTCTTTTCAAACGCCATATTTTGGAATTCATTTTATTGCGACCAGTTCATAAATTTACTATTTCTAACTTCCATCGCTAAGTATTATGAAGCTGTAGAAGTAAGAAACCATTGATGGCGAATATTTAGCATCAATAAAACTAACTAAGCTCAATACACAGCAGTAACTGTAGTGGTGCAATGAGGATTGGTTCTGTTGGTCTCATTTTAAGGTCATCGGTTTTTCCATATCTGTCTCCTCCTATCATATTCTTAGCAAAATTTATATCATGCATCAGGTCCTGCCCAAGGTTATTATTAAATTTATTCATTTGGATCAGTGATTTGGTAACGGTTGTTTTTCAGTCAGATCTGAATCTTGTTTGTGTATAGTTGTATTATCTTTTTCACTCCGAATTTTTTGTGTTACTAGTCGATTTCCTTCTGTAACTCATGGACAATAAAGGAAATAGGTATATATTTCGGTAAAATCCGTTTATCCTAAATACAGATATTGCAAATTGTGCTTTCTCTGTATTGCGATCACATGTGTGAATTATGAAAGCTTTCTGTGCTTAGACAAATGCATATTTGAAACTTGTAAAAAGTTGAAACAAACTTGATTTCATAATCGTAATAAAGAAAATGATATTTGCATTCCTTCGTTTAATGAGTATCTTATTTCGCTTTGAAGGCATTATGTAGAATTTATGTAGTTTTTAAAACGAAGAAAAATGCTGTTTTTATTCTTGATTTTACTGTTCTTGTTTAGATAGGAAAAACCAGCTCAACATCTTCGCGACGACGATGTCCAATGCAGCAGAAAACAGTTTCAGGTCACTTTTTTTTGTCAGATATCCTGGTGGTAGATTGCTGCTGGAAATGGAATTTCAATGTTATTTGACAATATTTTTTGCACCGTTTAGGAATTATCCTTGATACCAAATTTATTTGATTTTTAGGGGTATGAAGCAGATTTTATCAGAATTAGAACCGGACACGGACGCAAATACCATATTTGAATTAAAAGAACGCGCCCATATGTTTTGTGCTAGGTTTCTTGGTGGCGCTTGGAAGGCGGTCGGGATTGGAGAACTTCAACTGGAACGGTTAAAGTAATCCCTACTTATCTGTTGATCTCCGTAATACATAATATTACGTTTTACGGAGATCGTAATACTTGACTACAAACAAGAATATTCATGAAAGTATGAAGAAACCTTGGTATTACTGAACAATATTACAGAGGTGGTATGAGTAACATGCTGTTTTTGTGTCGTCTTCCGGATGCATATCCGCTACTTTCAAACGAACCAGACAAAGTGCTGCTACGAATTTATTTTAATCCAGAAACCGAAAGTCATCTCGTAGCGGAATCGGTCATCTTCACTTTATTATCAGAACGCCACCTCGGCCCGAAATTGTATGGAGTATTTAGCGGCGGACGGTTGGAAGAGTATATTCCGGTACTCAGATTTTGAGGGCTAATTGTTTTATGTTACTGGTGCTATCCTACTTGGTCGTGTACATGCTCTATTTTTGACGTTGCAGTCTCGACCACTTTCGTGGAAAGAGCTTGCCCTTCCGGAAATGTCCAGTAGAATAGCACAGCGATTGGTTCGAGTGCATCAGCTGGAGGTACCGATTTGGAAAGAACCTGATTATTTATGCGATGCACTTAGCAGGTGAAATTACATACTGAACACTTTTTTCATTTCCCTTCCCAAGTGAGCAAGATTTTTTTTTAAAATCACTCTTTTAACAGATGGAGTAGTTTGAAAATATAATGTTTAGATGGCTGAAACAGCTTACGCAGACACCGAGTGGTTCACGAGAATTTGTGATTCCAAGCTGTTATTCAAATTTTGCCTCTCAGATTATCACTTGTGAAGATATTGCTAACGAACTCGACTTTTTGAAGTAAAATTTTTTTGGTATGCTTTATTGACTACTCACACATTATTTGAGTAATCAGATTTAGTATATGTCTTCATTCCTTTCGGATGATCATAACAGTTCAAAACATTTAAAAATGGCTGTTGAACATGAATTCAGCTTGCAGGAAATGCGTCAGCAAAAGTAAAAGCATTGTCACGTTTTGCCACAATGATCTCCAGGAAGGTAATATCAGTTCTTGTGAAACCAGTGATATTCTATATATATATTTTTTAAATACATTCATCGACATAGGGTAACCTTCAAAGAATGTAACCTCTTTGAAGTTATCCTAAATCTATGGATGTATAACTTCTTAAATATCCCTGCAGAAACCATCAGTTCATTTACTCGTTTATCAGAGGGTTTTATTTGGAGTTAACTGGCTTGAATTCCGAAAGGTAAAAGAGCATCGAATTCATTAATTCGTACACTTCTTCCAGGGTTCCACGAATTAAAAAGTTTGACCAGTGAGGTTGAGCGGAACAAACTTTTATAGGAAATATATTACTTCCGCGATCAAGTTCCGGTAATATTATCACTTCATCGGTTACACAACGGAATTCTTCATCAGCAACAAACGCATCACGTCTTGTGATCATTGATTTTGAATACGCGAGCTACAATCACCGGTACGCTAGGTCTTGGTTGATGCTATATTCACTTTATACAAGATAAAGATTATTAAAAATTAGTGTAGCATTGATATTTCTAAATGTTATTAGTTATTATATGATGCAAAATTTTCTTTAATAATATTTGTTTATTATATAACGCAAAATTTTTTTTATAAAATTTGTTTTTTTGCTGGACAGAGTCTTGTTCTACTGAAAGTTATGTATTTTTTTTTTTATTTCGGCTTTCAAATTTATTGCTGTATATTCTAAACACGGATCAAGTGAGAAATTGAATTTAAGGTTGTATTTCTACTTGTGGTATCTATTTTGAGTCGTGATTCTGATTAATAAACATTCTTTCAGCCAATATGTCATAGTCAGTTAGATCATTGACAGGAGCACTATTGTTTATTCATTCAATAGTCAACACGTACATTAACTGCGTAGAGTTCCATAGCGAATATTGTCTCAATTAAAGAAGCATATAATAACTTTCAAACTAATCTTCTATTCAGTTTTTTGTTAATTCCAGTGACCTAATAATCTGTAACGATGAAATACTTTTGGTAATAATTTTTTGGCATTGGTTATTAATGTATGGTTGATGTGATATTGAGTATATTTGTGCTTTATCTTGCAGAGGATTTGATTTCGCAAATCACTTCGTGGAGTATTCAATCAATTACGACATCGACAAAGCTCCATTTTATGAGATAGATGAGCACCAGTTTCCAAGCGATGAACTGCAATACGATTTTTTTGTTTCTTATTTGAATGAACTTGAGCCGTTCTCTTCGATGGCCGAATGCGATAAAAAAGCAAGAGCTATGATTGAGGTTATTTTATCAGTTAATGGTTTAAATTTAATTTATTCCGAAGATTGCAGTATTATATCTAATCCTTTCCATGCAATTGCTTTACAAGTTTTTTCAATCTATATGCTGTCTGATATCAAATAAACAGTGGACAACTTTACCAGCAAATATGTCCCATAAATTTTACTTTGTTCTAGAATTCTTAATCTTCATAGAATTTAAAATCTATAGATGTTGATCCTTTATCTTGATACATACCGTCTGATCAACTTTTTTGTAGGAAACGAGACCATTTGTCCCAGTGTCTCACTTTTTTTGGGGTGTTTGGGGTTTGCTGCAAGTTGAAGTGTCGCCTGTTGATTTCGGATTTGCTGTACGTTTTTTATATTAATTACAGTAGAAATTCCACTAGTTTTTATAGCGAAATAAAAGCAGATATATGTTAAACACTTTACTTCATCTTTAGGTTCAATCAGAGAATTTCAGGAGTATGGGCGCGATCGACTAGGTTTGTATTATAAAAATAAGCATTTGCTTCTAAAACTTCTGGAAGATTCAAGTTGAGGATCAGAAGCAATAGAATCAAATTTGGACATTCATTGCATCCTAAAGCGAATTATTCATGTTATTGTTTTTGACCGAAATATCTAACTTCATTAATACATCATATTATTTCAAATGGCTTGAATCTATAAGAGATTCGTAAATTATGTCAGGGTAACAAGTATCATCAGTAATGGACTATAGCATGTTTGGAACGTTGGGGTTAAGTGCTATACGGATTGGCATTCTGCAACAGTGAAATTTTATCTTGAAATTTTGATACATTGGAGCATAAACGATGATATAGTCTTCAGTTTTTCTAATAACTTCTAAATGGTGGGTTTCTACAGTCATTCAACTCTGTGTTTATTGCAGTTTTTGAGTATCAGGTATATTACCGAAATGCTTCATCTACTATTGTATTCTGAGGCGTCATGTGCAGTTTACCAATTGGAAGGATAAATTATGAAAAATAGTGGTCGTAATATTAGAACAAGATAAGTGTAGTAGCATTTCAAACAAGCATAAAATTTCGAAAGCATGAGTGACCGATCAATATGGGAATAACAGTGTTATAGGTGGTGGGAGCAGGACGTACGTCTTTTCCACATTATGCAAACTTTTGCTGCATTTTTTTTCTTGCTGGATATTTGAACAATTATTGTATTCAGAAATCAATAAATCTGTATTTCGGGTCATTTCATTTTTTTGATAATTGTCGATTGAATATAAAATTTAAGATTCAGAAAATTAAGATCGTTTGGTCTATAGTCTCTCTTAAAACTTTCACTGCAGACATCACTTGGAGCAACCGGGATAGATCATATAGTCTAGTAGGACTAAAACTTGAATAACAGATAGAACCTGACTGTTACACTGTGCAGTCACGTCCTTTCCTAACGGAGACTACTGTTTTCTGTTGAATTATTGACGTACTCCGAACACTCATTACTTTTCGTATATCAAACCCCTGAGTCTTTTTTCTTTCTTACCCATATTTTTGATCCCATGCAGGGGATAATCAGATACATTTCACCAAAAGGGATATTTTGGACAGCCGAACTGTCAACTAGCAAATTTTATTGGAGAAAGTCATTTGATTGATAATTTAAAACTAAAAGAAAATTGGAGGGTAAAGTTCAATAGGAATGTGCGAACAGCAGAGATGAGTCTTTCTCCTGATATTTTGAAAGGAAGTAAGAATAAAAAGTCATTTCCCGAACTTCCTGACAATCGACGATAAGTCCGCGTATGGTTTAATTGATTTTAATAATAACACCCAAAGTTGCAGATCTCTGAAATACATCAGCAAGTTTGGTTTATCATATTTACATTCGTGATACCCCCTTCCCCTGGGTTGGTCTTGACTTGCGACTCACCGTTCTTGTTACATAAATAAATCATCATGAGGACTAATCGGACGATATTTTTTCCTTCCTGTCGAATAATACTTAGTAATCCACGACGTTTGCTTATAAAGTTGGCAAAATGTTGTGCTCATCGGAGCTTTTTTTTTTCAGATTCGGTAATCACGCTTAACTGTGGAAGAGAGCTGCATTGTCCGCTCAATTCCGAAAGGTTATATCAAGGATTTTACTCCATTACCTTTTCATCAACACTTTTTATTTTCCTTTGGTTTATCGTTACTGACAATTTTCGCTATATCTGCTCCTTCATTATAAATTAATACAGCTTGATCATTTCATTAGAAATGAGTATAGGAAGAGACGCTTTTCGGCAGAGTCCTGTATTCTGTCCCATGCGAAACATGGGCAGAAAGTTCGAATAATTCATGCACATGCAATCTATCCTCGATAAAAAGGGGTCCATTCATACCTGGGAAGTATACCATTTGTTTCGCGACTGCGTTATTCAGCAGCAGTTTTTGTGCTTGTAGTAGCATTAGATCAATTCTTTTAGTAATGCAATTATGAATATGAAACTTTTGCCGAACTTCGTTTCACTATTAACCAAATTTCAATTCAGTTTGCAGTGGCATTGCTCGCCAAGGTGGAAAACACATGTTACTCTTTGGCCCGATATGAGTTGGAAGTTATCAAGATGTGCTTGCTATGGAAAAGTCAAAATTAGTATCTTTAAAGAAAGTTACACGAAAGAAAACGATTTTGCAAAACATACCGAAAAATATTCTTAAAAATGCAATATAACTTATGAACCTGAACATTTCTTATTAGCACGGATGTAAACATATCAAAATCAAAACAGCATCAAATTTTAGCAGGACAAAATGAAGGCAGAATTTAAGTTAGAATCACAAGTATCGTATTGAAACAAATTTCCGCGTTCCCTAAAACGCACATGGTTTTTAATGTACACGATAATTATTATTCATCATGACCTTGCGTACAACTACGTAAGACAGTTTTTATTGCACTGATTTCATTTCTGGAGTCTTGGAACGAGAATTTCCGATCTGTCAAGATGTAAAAAAGTGAAAAAAATGAACATAATGTAATGGATAGATCTTTCCCGAAACCACGCGGAACTTTTGCTGTGTGCATATGCGAATTTCTCTCTCCATTGCTGTTAAGAATGCAGGTGACAGAGAGAAAAGCCGAAGTATGTCTAGCTTTCGAATCATGCACTTGAACCTGGTGGGCCAGAATTTATTTTTGAGCTATGAAATGCATCGTTCCAATGCAGCCCAGATAAATGTGGCAGACCAATTTAGAATAGGTGGCACTGATCCTCCCGTGAAACCTAATTTTAAACAATGAAAACGGAGAAATTGTCAAATATTTCTAAGGCAGATTGCATAATAAAACAACTATTATTACCAAGATTTGGTGTAGAACAGAAAATCAGTGAAAATGTGAAAAATCAGAAAACTCTCCACATGCATGTAACAACATATAAGCTGTAAATGGAGATGAAAACGAATCAGCACTGCAGCTAAATCGCAACAAAACGTAAGCAGAGCAAAGCTGTGGTAGTCTAATTAATTAATTAACCTCAGCTCCACCTCATTCCATGTTCTACAGAATTGAATAACAAGACATCCTTCTTCACTTTGCTATGCTTCAATGAGGTCACGTCATTTGATCAATAATACTTGTAACAAACAAAAATTTACATGTACTGTTGGCGATTAGTTGCTGGCAATTCCAGCTTTCTTCATTGTTTATTGTAGCAAATTTTCCATCAATTTTTTAATTGCTGGGATTGCATCTGGACCTCCATTTTGTAAGAGCGCCAAAGCTGCTAATGCACTTTGCTAAAATAACAATTTCTCACTGTAGCGAGCACATCAAGTTCGAGAAAAATTTGTCTTTTCTATTTCGGGACCCATCGAATATAATAAACGAGTCTATTGAAGGGTGCTTTTAATTGACGCCATTATGCTCATCTCCAGAATAATTAGAGAAAATCGGTGGATTTCTGGGTCTAGCCCTGCACTGATCCATTATTTACAATTTGATTACCTGATAACCAATTAAAATTTCCTCAAATATCTCAATTTGATGTCTGAGCTCTTCCTTTTCATGTTCAAATTGTCGTAGTGTTATGTCCAGTCCCGTTAACTGAATATCCAGGCGGTCAGTTTCCACTTCATGATTCAAAATTTTCGTATCAGGGGACTGATTTCTCGTTTCTGCTACGCCATGTTTGGCTTTTAGCACCTTCAAGTAAAGCAAACACTTCCTTTGTTAAACACAAATTTAGGAGATAAGCATAACGGCGTTCAGTTTTTAGATCTGATATTTTCCCTATCAGAAAACCTGTGGAAAAAAACTCCAATTGCCTTTGTAGAATAGCATGGTCAACTTAGAAACACTTCATTGCCAGACCTTATGTACGCAAATAATGAACCAGGTATCATGTTTAATCACTGAATGCTTAATCAGTTTTCTATTCGATATTAATAATGTTCATCCGTCATTCAGGCACTACGCAGGAAGTCGTTAATCAGGATAAGCTATACGCCTAAGTCCACCACACTTTATTTCCCAATTCATTTGCATCTTTGAGATAAATGACTATACATATATATATAACATGCGTGTAATGAAATACTATCAGAGAGACAATAACGACAGATGATAATACAATTCTCGTATTCATGATTACCATGATCTAAGCAGAAATCCATGTGCATTTGTGGGCTATGAGAATCTCAACATATGTAAGAAACTGAGATGCGTGCGTCAATGAAAGGATTTGACTGTCGGAATGAAAACTGCAGTTGTTCTCAGCACATTTGGTTAATATTGAAAAAGAACACAAAGATGTGTAATATACCTATAAAACTCAAAATGATTGAAATTTGTAAAAGTTACCGTGCAGTCACAGCTCTTAATAGGGCTAGTGGAAGCATCAACCAGTGTAACACCATTCGAGGTTGTTCTGCACACTGTTGCTGCTGTTGCCGTTGGAGGAAGCCCACCGTTGACTGATTTACCGCAGTCGTCTATTTTGGTATTTGTATCAACGATATTCTGCTTTTGTGGTAGTGCAGCAAATCCCTGTAAATTTCTCACTGACAGACAAATTATTAATATTACAAATATATCATTATCATTTGATCAAAAATTCTTAATTTTTTAAATTTATTTTATATTTAAGTCGAACAAATTCAAAAAAATGGATAATTTTACTGATATGGATTGATTTTCCAGCGAATAAATTTCAAAATATTTGCAGTAGCTACACCACAACTTTGGAGAAGTGGACACTGCTCGATTTTTAATTCTTTATTTTCAAAAAATAAGAAATAAAAAAATGAGGCGAATAAAAACATTGCTGTTCACTGAAACGCATAAAACGTTGCTTTCTGCCCTTAAACATCTTCCAAAAATAAAACATGAGAGAAATATTCACTTCATCGTCTTCATCGTCTGCACCAACAAAAGCTGTTGACGCCCGTAGTTGTTGAGGATTGCTGGCTTTCCGTTTATTTCGATGATTGCGAGTAACACTTAGACCTTTCTTTTCAAGTAAATCATCCAATGAGCTTCCATTCACCGATCGCTTACATTCCTAGAATTTTTTCAAACAAACATAACTGTAACAAATACCTACACACTACTCCCAAACTGATCGTCTAAGCCTGGTTAAGTGTAAACTCGGTGGTGATTTATGTTATTAAACATTGCATTTAATTTGGCAATTTTATTTACTAATCTATTCCAAGATTTCTGTACTTAACATTTCTTATCCTTTCTTTGGGATACAATTATTAAGCAACCATCTCTGAGAGAGACCAAGAATCAATAAAGCTTGTTATTAGGCATAAGTTGAATTATTAAGAAGTTTGACATAAGAAAATGGGTACCCAAACAACGAAGAATTGGGACGAAAAACTAGAAAACCTGAAACATCCAACAGCAACGAATGATATATATAGAATGAAACAAAGGTGGAGTAGAGAGTGATGAAACGGATAGCCATCTCCCTATTACTTCCCAACATTTTTATTCGATAGAACTTCAGGCCACGTTATTTTAGTCCATCATTCAGGAACACGTCCTTTGCAAGAGATGTATTTTCAAATGTATAAATATAGCGTGATGTTATACAGCCAGAAGTTTCAATCAGAGACTGGCAAGAACAAGGTAATTGGAATTGCTGACTTAATAGATATTCTTAATCTTATATTTCAGTTCTCATATTCACTCCATGAACTATCATCTTCTTGTTAAATACCATTTTGATTTCTTTACTTGGTTCATCATTTCTCGATTCTTATTTGATTTTTCTCGTCCATCCATTTTTCGCTTGCTTAACTTTTTTCTCATTATTTGGAGATTTATTCTTACATCAATTTTTTAACGAAATGTTTTTATGTCTACTAATTGCAATCCTGTTGATTTCGTGATGCCTGTTGCAGACAGAGGGGCAAATATCGAAAATTTCATTGTCGCAAAAAGAGATAATTCAGAAATCTGCATCATACTAAATGTACTGAGTGTGTGAGGTTGCGTGTAAAGAATCCTTATGAACTGTCAAATAGTTTTGGGTGTCTTCGTGAAAAGGTAGCAAAACTATCTATAGGTAGAACATGGACCAATAAGAAGCAAAATTGTACCTGCGAAGAGGTGGAATTTGGTGTTTTACTTGGAGATGCAAGGGAGGTGGTCTTAGCAGCACTGATATCAATGCCAGTTGAAATTTGTTCATCCTCCTTCGATTCCACTTTCAAAGTTATATTTGTTGTTGTCGTTCCCTTTTTTTGCAAATTTATACCCTCTACACTACTTGTCACTAGAATTTAAAAATTGTTAGGTCACACAACAAGCTGAAAAATTCCGGCTAAACTGAAATTCTTACAGCAACCATTCAAAACTCACATGAGGAAAAATGATGTAACTTGGGTGTGCTAAGTAGTTCCAAGCTACATTTTAACTTTTCTCGATATGTGCGGGACTCATATTTACAACTAATCACTGTAAGCCCTTAAAATAATATCTAACATTATCCACTATATTTCAAAACTACTGTTAAAAAAAGACCTGTCAACAAATTAGTAGAATTGAAAGGCGCCACAGTAAAAGCATTATTTGCCAACCATGCTGTCAACCAGTTGTTTTGACTACTGGTATCCATGCTCATTTGTGTTAGCAAATTATCTGGCTGCAAAAGTGGTACTGTATATCTCTACAAAAACAGCTAGAGACAGCGAATGTATTTTAACAAAGTTATTGTGTAGGGGACTCATTTTCACCTTAAAAAGGTACCAATCTAAGATCAATAACAACAGATAATCCTAGTTTTAAACATCCAGGATTTCAGAGAACGCCAACAGCTTACCAGCGTTAAATGGAATAGGTTGACAGCTGATACCTAGAACCTCTTTCACGAGGCCCGTTCGGCGTACAATCGCGTTACCATGAAGAAAATGTACTGCAGTGGATGAAAACCCGCTTTAGTCTTTATGATGTTTGGAAATTGAAAAGAGTTAACTAACATTCGTTGATCTCATGAAATGAATTCTTCGATATGAATAATATTTAACCTTGGCTGTAAATCGAAATAAACTATCGGTATTATTGAGCGTCGCCGGAAATATGGATCCGTCCAGTAAACCATTACTATTACCAAATAATGAACTTTTAGTATGTGTTTGTTCGCCTGGTGGTGATTCATTTCCACAGGTTTCTGGAGGACTTACTGATGGACTTCCTTCAAGCTCTCTCGGTGACATTTCTCCCACGACTGCAAAAAACTTTAAGCAGAAATAATTTCGAGCTCGAAGTGCCACTGTGTTTGAACAGTATTTGATTTGTGAACCAATAACTGAACGCTCAGTTTCTTGTTAAGAAATAAATCTGAATAGTAAAGTCCCACTGCATTTATTGTATCCAATATATGATAACTAAATGAGCACAGCTTTTCTTAGCATCGTACTTATTTCTTTTTCATTTCAATTTTGTTTATTAAGTTTTTCCAGCGCTTCTTCCGGTGTTTAAAAAGGAATAAGAACAGAACCTCCAGCCATTCCCGGACCATCGCTAGAACTTCTGGCAAGAACAGAAACGTCACCAGGAGTACCATTCCGCAACATACTCTGCATATGTATATGTAAGCTTGTCTTATCAGGATATGCCCAATTACAGCATCGACACATGAACATTCGCGAAATAGAATGTATCCGGAACATGTGCGACCGGAGTGTCTCATTTCCAGAACAGCCTGTTATTGTTAATGGTATTAAAAATGAACATTCCTTTCTATGATCGGATTTAAGAATGCATGCAGATTTCCTCTATTTCATTAGAATCTTTAAGGTGCCAAAGAATTTCACAATAACACTTTAACTTAAACATTAAGAATATAAAAATTGAAATCAAAATTGTATCAGATAAATCTGAAAATATGTTTTGTTTTGTTTAACACAAATAGGATTTAAAAAAATATGCAAAAAGTGGAAGAAAAAAGATTTCAAAATGTGCAAAAAATGAAGAAAATAAACATAGATGAATCAAATGAATGTAAATGTGTGAAATAATGAGAGAAGAAAGAGGGAAATTAGGATATTAAAATTGAAGATTCTTGGGTTTAATTTTTCGGGTTTTTTGTTAGGATTATTTTTTCGCAGTTGATTAGTTTACGAGTAATCAACTTCTACAAAATTTGTGAGGAATGTTTAAATAGTTTTTTTCTTCCCAACCGATGGTTCTCGAGGACTAAAATATGATCAGTGAGAACGTTGATCCGGTAAGTAAGTAGTAAGTAGAAAATAGGGGACTGTTTTCTTTGTATTTTTTAAAACTATACTTTGATTTGCTGTATACTTTAATAGTTTTGATTAAAGTTTGTTCTCAAATTAACAGAATTCATTATTTTTGAGCCATGTGGTTCCTGCTACAGATAAAAAAGTTAAAACTGTCCCTGGTCAAGAAAAGGTTGGGAAGTATTTTGAACTTTAAAGCGACCAAGTAGTGTCTCCATCTCTCTTCGAAGATAAACATCCATTATCGTCTCATCATTTTACTCTTTCAAGTAATTTTACAACCTACCCGTATTTTTCGAAATAATTCAAGGGGAAGAAAATGAACTGTAAGTCTAATTAAGCAAAAAGTGTGCCATGTAGGCTTTGTGCACTTTACCTATCATTTACAATTTATTTTAACAACTTCTTGACCCCGTACCATACTGCACAGAGCAGGAGCAGCATATAATCAAGCACATCCTAATGGTCGCTTTTTCTAACCCACTGTTCCTTTAATCCTCTAAAGAGTGATAACTATTGTTTTTATCGCAGTTACTATTCTTAAATTATTTTGAAAAATGTTAGCGCTTCCTAGAATCACTATACTAGTTATTAGATAATTTAGATTCAAACTAGGAATTGTAATTTTCTGACAGCAGAATTATTGCATGATTTCTTGCAGATTCTTGTAGAAGGTAATGAAAAAGTTTCGAAGGAGGTGAGCATAATTTGTCACACTTTATCAAATTTTGTATACAAGGAAAATTTTTGAAGAAATTTATTGAAAATGTTAGTCATAAACCATTTACTAAATGAATTTGGTTTTAAACCTTATATTTCAAATCTTACAAGTAATTTGAATACGTTTTTAAGCGAGATATTCATCCCTTTAATAAATCATTTAAAAAGGTATTTTGAATTCAGCAAATCATTTTAAATTTTAAAAGGCGGCAAAAGTAGTGAAGGATGAATGGAATTTTGATGTTAATCAAGATTAGTGTTGATAAGACACTACAAATTTGGATAATGGTTTAGCGTGACTGCTAAATATTAATATGACTGGGATTTAAAAACGGATAAGGATACAAATTTTTTTCATATGTCTATTTAAGAAAGAGTGAAAGTCTGTTATACTCAACTGCTGTAAAGCAGTAAATAACAGTCAAAATTTCACTTAGCATGCATTTAGGGCGTTTCAGTTATTTTCACTTCCAGCCAGGTCCTGTGGTATTACTTTTCAGATGCTCTGTCATTTTCGTTTTATCATTTCTTATTTTTGCAAAAATTTGAAGCTGAAACATTCCGAAAGATACTCTTCAATGGAGTTGGAAGCAATAACGTGTGATGATTGGTATTCTTTGAGCATTATGAGATAGCTGCATTCATTATTGCTCAAATTTAGGGCAGTAAAAGATATCATATAGGATAATACAACACGGCAACTGATTTTCATCAAACATGCCAAACTGGCAGTTAGCCATTCATTCCATACTTGGTGATAAGAAGTTTGGAAGATTGGCACAAATCTTAAACATTGAATATAATTTCACTTTTAGCATATTTTGTTTTCAATCAAAATAAGCAGTTAAATCTTAAAAGTATTTTTTACAATTTAAATTTATTCATATTTTATTGTTGAAATTTGACATGAGCTAATTATTTCATTTAATAAGCTAATTAGAATTTGGACAGTTTGAACCAAGATAAAAATAACTTCGATATGTGATTCTTTTTCGTTAATTAACTCAACGAAACACAACCAAAGTTGTCCCAAAAATATATATATACATATATATACAGAGTTTTAAAATCGTGGCTAGTAAAAAAATGACTGAAGATAGATGAAAGCTTTAAAATAAAATAAACAATAAAACTCACTAGAAATTTCCTGATTGCATTGTGTACAAGTGTAACTTTTGAAATGAGCTTGCATACGATGTCGACTTAGTGATGACGAATGACAAAATACTTTGCCACAAACTGAACATGGAAATGTACCTGGAAATTAACAATTTCCTCATGAATTTAGCTAAATTACTAGAATCTAAATGAATCACATCAAATACTTGGACTAACCAAATTCATGTAAGAGGAATTACATATTACATTATTATCACAGTAGCATCAAAGCATTGCGGATACCGTCATTTCATTTATGGATTGTTGTCGTATGTATTATTACGTCTTGTGTTATGTTGCCACTAACTCATTTTCGTGTTACCTAATTTGATGAGTTAAAAATGAGTGAAGGTCTAGGCCTGTGTTAAATCAGTAAATTTACGTAATGAACAAAGTCTGCAAGCGCAAGTTAAAAATGAATGAATGAAAACTTTGAATATTATACTCTAAAGTTCCTTAAATTATTTACAATAACTAATAATTCTGAACAAATACATTTGAGGAACAAACTGCTATCTTTATACTTTCATGTATGTTTTAAACATCATTTTAAAAAAGAGGCAGTATGTTTGATATTGCATCTTTGAATCACTACTATATTACTTAGTACTACAATTTATTTCATCCTTCAAGACTCTCTGCACAATAATTCATCCCTTTCGAAACCTGTGACGCGACTAAATTCTACGTTTTGTCAGACTTGTACTCGAAATTCTTCCTTGTGTACATACAATATTTTTGAATCTGCCAACTACTGTAATTACCTCTACAGTTTGTCAGAAAATTGACAATAACTTTATTTTGTAACTCCTAGGTAGGAGGTGTTTAGGAAAACAATTTTCGCACTTTTTATATTAACGATGATATATTCTAATTATTTGTAGTGCAGCTAGAAGAGATGCTAATCACTTGTCAGAATTTCAAAATGTTTAAATTTGAAAAAATTTGTTGGAAAAAGATTAAACCTTTCAAATCAGGTCTTTTCAGTTCGGAACGATATGGCATTCTGATAAGTTCCCTTCAGCAAGTTTGAATAAAAACAGTGCAAATCTTAGAAACAAACAGATTTCAAATATGCTGCAGAAAATTTATAGCAGCAACGGGGGAAAAGTAATTTCGAATCGTTGAAAATCTTTGCGACGTATGATCTTCGCCTACCTGAAAATAAACTTGGTTTGAATGTATTCTTAAGCTGAATAAAATATTTTGTACATGGCTGTAGGATAGCCGGCTATAGATGCAGCGTTTTTTTTTTTTAAAAAACAATGCTGGAACAATAAATATTACAATCGATGATAGCTTTACTGTTTTTTCTGTGAAATAGAACAGTGGATGGATTAAGCAAGTCAGATGGAGGGTGCACTTCGCATATCTGCTTATCGCCACTGTATTGCATGTATAAAACGAATAAAATGATAACGAAATGGTTAATTAAATGAAATGACCCTCATAATACAAACTTGAATTATAACGATGCACTGAGAAGGAGTAATAGCGTCACAAATTACTGAGGTTGAAATGCTTGTGGAGAGAAAGAGGAAGGGATGTGTTGATGACCTTTACCATGAATAATGTCATCTCGTATCCCTAGCAGTATGTTGCACCCTTCTCATTTGGCTAATCTCCGATGGCATCAGTACCCGAATGAGGTCTCGACTGCTTCTTCTTCCTATCCGGTCTTTCAACAGTACACATGAAAGCATAAAATCATTTTGACTGGCTTCCTTAACCATATCTCTATTCTCCTATTTTCTCTATTTGTAAGTGAAGAAAGTATATTGCTACCATATGGAAAGGAACTATCCCACAAAAAGATGCTGATCTTATCCACCACTATTCATCCATCAATTTAAAAATGCAACGTATCAATAAGTTACTACTACTACTACTATTATTATTATTATTATTATTATTATTATTATTATTATTATTATTACTTATTATTATTATTATTATTATTATTATTATTATTATTATTATTATTATT